AAACGGCACACTCAGCAGAGATGCCCAGAAGTTCACGGGCTGCAGAGTCTAAACCATCCCTCTGCTGCTATCCCAGGTCACGACTGCAGTGAACTGGCACAGTAACGCACATACGCGCAGCCTCACCCAGCTCACCCTGCGACTCCTAGGGTTTCCAGTTCCCACAGCCCAAGAGACCAGCAACAAAAAAAGGAACATCCTCCAGCTGTCTCTGGATTTACAAAGCTTTGGAGATCTTCATGAAGAAGGATGCCAAAATACGACCTCTGCACCAAGGAGCTCAAAAGCTTAAGTTTGGGGTTTGTGCTGCACCCACAACCCCCAGTTGCTCTGCTGGGCATTCACAACCCCCAGGGCTTCCCTACTCTTGCATCAAACAGCTTTTTGGGAAGCCCAAACTGCTCCAAAATGATCCCATGCCTGTCATTTTCCCAGCTGCCCACCATTAAATAGCTGCTGTCAGTTTGACCAGAAACTCCACATTTCCCACACATTACGTTGCATCACCACATATTCCTTTGTGTCCTCCCGGCACTAACCCATCATAAAATAATTATCAGGCACACTGCAATGTCAGTGCAAACTAAGTAAATACTGCCTATGCATGCTGCATTCCTTGGCTGACCAGCCCAGGCTGCCAGCTAGGGCTAAGCCTGAAAAATAGCTCCCACCTGTCCCCACCCTGGCAGCAGCCTCGATTAGCAAGAAGCCTAAACCTGATATAGTGGGACATGCTGCCAGTAAAAATGAAGGATGTTGGCATGGGTGAGTGTGCAGGGACCCTGAAGCAAATCAGCAGCGAGCACTGCCAGTCACACCAGAGGTGCTACGGTGGCTGCTTTCCCATCGTTTGCCTGATTCTGTTAATGTCTCTTGCAACTATCACACAAACTTTAAAAAAAAAATATATGATAGTAAAAATTCCAGTCAATATATCCTTTTAATTTGCACCAGATTATAGTTTTTTTAATGCAATTACTGTAATTTCATTAAATGACATAATTACCATTAATGCAGAGAAAACTGTCAATAGAAGGTGTAATTATGTTGTATAAAATCACCAGCACAATGTGCAATGATGCATAATTCCTCATGAAAATCATTCTGTGACTAAAATTAACTTTTAAAATATTTTAAAAATATATACTGTACAGTAAGAATGATTCAGTTATTATGGACTTAACTTCCACGACCAGGGAAGAAGGGGGAGCGGAGCAGGCAGAAGGAAGGACCAGGAATTCATTTTAAAAATGCATCAGAAAGATAAGAACACAAGTTTTCAGATGCACGAGTGGGAAAAACAAACAGCTTACAATCACACAGACATACAACACGACTTGTGAGTGGCCATTCCCTTCGGCACATTTCACCACGCAGCCCCAGCTGTCTGGACGCCAGTAATGCAGCATGGAAGTGACGTCTCAATGGAGAAAGGTGCGACAAGAGGATGGAGTGATGAAGGCCAGGTTAAAAACACAATGTTCACCCTGGAATCCAGGAGCAAGCTGTCCCGGGTAGGATATGGAGAGTGTCAGGCACATGAGCAGAACCATACAGGGATGTATTAGAGTATGTCTCTAGGGGGTCTTCAAAATAAAGCCTTTTTTGAGAGGAACGTTTCAGGTCAAAATGTAAAATATTGGGTTGAATACAGAGATAACTGCATCAAAATTACATAAGCCAAGTAGAATGCCTGAAGAGTTTTTGGTCTTAAAAATCTACAAATCCCCTCAAATCCTGAATTGATGGAGGGGAACACATGGACAAAGTCTTTTAAGATCTCTCCTGGTATATGAGCACTATTAATTCCAAAGGCAACATTTTCCACATGTGGGAATATTCCTGACACTCCCAGGCAGGCACAAACATGTGTGTCCATTTTTCGCACCAGACCAATGATGAAATGTACACTTTAAAGAAGCCAGAAAACCTATGTGTGACTTCTTCCTCCGACCCAAGATGTTTTTTCTAGAATTTGCGTAACACTATTTGCACCAAACCCTTTGTGCACAGGACAAATATCACCAAAAGAGAAATTTTGCTTTTCACCTCACCTCCCTTTCAACCCTCTTTCCAAAACCTCGAAATCTGAAAAATTTCTAATTATACTTGCACCCGAGCAGGCTCAGTCTGTGTCCTCTGTGCCTATACAATTAACTCGGGCTTACAATCATCAGATTAATATCGCAGAATGCTGATGAACAACACAATTTCATTTTTGCAGTGTAAACAAAAAACAAAAATGCCCCACAAAACCCAAACCTACTCACATGTTTTCTTGGATTGTCTCCTTTCAGCATGACAATAAAGAAATTAAGCTTGGGATGATGTACCTTACAAATGAGAAAACATGATGATTGCATTTTTCTCATTCACTTGTGTCCTGCCTGTGCTGTCTCTATTTCCTCCCTCTTTACCTGTCCTTCTGTCTCTCTCGCACCCAGAAGTAGCACCTAATGTCCGTGTCACACTGGAGAGCTGCCAGTGCTAATGGGGAGGGAGGTGTGCTGTAAGGAAGACTGCAACAAGAAGGTGTAAGATACCGCGGCCTCGCCTATTGCCATGTGCTGATGATCTCTTAAGTATTTCCTTCTGTCTGGCGGTGGTTTTTGTCAGATTGCTTAAGAAAACAAGGTTCACGTGATTATACTGTCTGCTTGTCTTCCTCCTCCTCCGCCCCCTTACTACCCCCCTTGGAGGAAGGGGCATGGGCTACGTGTAGAGGGAAACCAAGGGCAATACAACAGGGGAGGAGGGTCCTAAGGGCCACCCAATCTCTGGGATTATCGCAGTGAAGATATGTGGAATAGGTAGAATATGGTCACAACAGTTCTTGCCAGTGGCCTAAGGGACAAGGTCTGGGAGGAAAAAACAAACATAGGCATTTTATGGTTTGAGGGCCTGGCTGGCTCTTAAGCTACAAGCCATGGTTTCAAGAGCCCAAGCTGAAAAACAGGCGAGAAGCTTTGTGCACCTTCCTCGCCTCTGGCTTTCAGAGTCAGCCACAAGCATCAGTAAGGACAAATACGGTACAAGCTAAGCTGATTCAAAGCCAGGTGCTGAGATATATAGCCACTGCTTGCTGGGGAATGATGACTTTAAAAATGTGATATTTGATACAACTTTTCTTTAACCTGGTAAGAGCGGATTTTATGTACAGATTGCGGCAGGGAGGGATGCTGCACCTACCAAGCTTCGTGCATATTTTCAATACTATGAATGCACACGGTGGAAACAGTGAGAGAGAGATACAGAATTAGTACTTCATTTTAAGTACCAGAGCTGAATTATTGCCATGTGGAAAAAAAATCAGACAGACTTAAATTTTGGTTTGTAGAAGCAACTGCGGTAATTATTCTTAGCATAATGTATTTTTATACCTTTCTCATTACCCAGGAAACCAGTAGTAGTATGGTATCTGGGAAAGATGTTGTTAATCTGTAACTTGTAACCTGCTCATCCTCCTTTTCGCTAGCAATCAATCCCTTTTTCTGCAGACCCGCTTTCCCACCTTCTTATTTTTCTGCCTCTCCACCACTTACGAGCTTTTCTTAAGTCTAGAAAACTGAACTTCACAGCTACAACTTCGAAAGCATTTCGGTGCAAAATCTCTTAAGAGAAAATCTCTTAAGTATGTGTTTAAATTCTTGCTGAATGGTGATGGTAGTATGTCAGCACTGGCATTTCATGTCTGTCCCTCCCTCTCCAGCCCTAGTGTGCATGACCAGCAGATTGCCTTGCACGCAACCGCAGAGCCGCCTTGCACAACCGTACCTGCTTCAGTGAGGTACCGTCTGCTCTGCTCTCCACCAGCTCTTGAACCACCAACTTTAGAGATGATCTAAACAAGCTCTGAGCAACGGGAAGGAAAAAGAAAAACCACAGAGAAAAGACCCTCTCATCCTACCTACTCTTACGTGTCAGTCATCCCTCTAACCCACAGGGTGAAAGACAGCTCCTCTGCCTTTGCTCTGGAGATTCTTTCAATCAGGGATGGTCCACTTTACTCATCTGTAGCAAATACACTGTAAAGTGTTTTCCTCCACAGAACATTTAAGTGACTTCTAATTCACAGTGAAAGGAGGAGGAAAATCTTGGAGATGGTTATTTTGCTTAATAAACACTCAACTCAAAAACTTTCTTTCTGCATGCTGGACCACCACAAAACAATTTTGCAACCTTTAATGGCATGCCAAACACTTCAAGCATGAAGAAAATGTCACACCACAGAATAAAAAGCAGGGAAAACCTTTTTGTGCTTGAGTGGATTATGAGGAAACTGCAAATGGGGTGTTTACTACCAAGAGCAAAAAGGAGAGAGCTGAAAAGCGGGACAGGCAGGTGGAGAACTTGGCTCTTTGTTCACAGTGCACAGGAGAACTCACTGACCAGCCTTTTCCTGTTCTTTTTATTTTAAGCAACATATTATTACCAACAAGAGAACAGATTTGCAACAGGCGATGTCAGAAGAGCTGCTGACGTGCCATGGGGACACGGGCACAGCAGGCATTGATATAACCTGCAGCGAAGAGCTGCCTTGTTGCAATGTAAGATAGAAGGGACAAGACCCATTTGCTCACCGCTTCACCCAAATCTCCCTGCATCACCCTCTCAGCCACCACCTCCCTCCTTTCCTACCACCCAGTTGCCACATTTAAAACAAACAAACAAAAAAAAAAAAACATATCCAGAGTCATGACACGGTCACAGCCTTTACAGGGTGGCATCACCCACCCTGGACATCCTCAGTGCTTGGTGCAGGTTGGTGAACACCACTGCACCAAGTGAAGAAAGGCTATTTCTGAAGGTCTAATTTCGATGCCCATCAGGCCCAGCGTGGCCCAAGCTGCCTTGAAACCCACAGCCCTGCAGCCATGTAGCTACAAAATACCAGTAACAGCAAACGAGAAAGGGCTTTATGCCGGTGGAGAGGAAGGCACTGTAACACTCGAGATCTTGTATCGCTTCGCCTCATGCAATAAAAGAAGAAATCCACTTACCACAAACGCTATCACGCTCTTTACCGTGGATTCCCAAAGAAAGCAGCTCCGAAGGAATTGTATTGTATTCCATATTGCCATGGTGATTTTTTTCACGCGATCAACATTTCTTGATAAGATCTGATAAATATTGAGTGGGAGGAGGGGAGGAGAAGAAGAGTTTAATCAAACACTCTATATCCTACTATTGCTTCAGAAACAGGGATAATTTAAGCTACAAATGCATGCCAGGGCACATATTACAAATAAAGCTTCTATTTCAGAGACACACTCCAGCTCCTGTCTGCCTTCTGATTACACCCAAACCTTCCAGATTTTCCTCATCCCTTAGAAAAAAAGGGGGGAAAAAAAAGCACGTCTTGATGCCAAAACTAAATAAAACAGTAACACAAACCTATCTTCATTTCTCTTCAATTTTCAGAATATAGCAGTGTCTCAGGAAAAAGGGCCAGAATTAAGTTAATCAAAACACTGAACCTCTTCTCTACATGTTTTAGATTAGTCCATAGAAATAAATACGGAATTTTAGCCTTATTATAGCTCACCTCTATTTACAAAAAGGATAATGGCCATTGTGCTAAAATCCTACAGACTTTTAAAATAACTAATTTAGACCTGATTTCTTCCTTCCCAAAGAGGGAATAAGGCTCTCATCAAGCTTTAGGTGCTGCGAACTGTGCAACATCCACAGTTATCGTTCTCCCCACTCTGAAGCACGAAACAGAACTACCAATGCAAACTAGATCAGAAAGCAATTTTGTGTTAACACAAACAAACCTTTTAATACATACAAAAATACGCAGAATTTACATGTGTTCACCATTTTATGCATGAATAGGTTTTGTTCTTGCAACCGTGCTACAGCAATTCAAATCTTTTCAAAACAGACGCGAGAGTTTAGCCTGGACACAATTTTCACCTTTTTAGAAAATTTGCGGTTCTCCTCAGTAAAGCGCTTTTCTCGAGGCTTGAATGTTCTAATACTTGCTTTTATCTAAAAATAAAGAAAAAAATACAAAAAGATGTCACGTAGTTTTAAGTGCATTGTTTCAGCTTTGTATCACTGGTGCTGATTAGGAATTACAAGATCTTTCATTCTTTTCAGCTTGTATGCAACTTTGGAGGAGCTGCTAGGAAAGATGCGGATGAGTTAAACTGGGCAGGGCTGGACTCACTTCAACAAGCGCAGAGCTGTGCTGTAGCCCACCATGGCCTTAACAAATAGGATTTCACTTGGTAAAAGGCTGTAGGGCATAAACAATAAAGACTGACTCAGCCACCTAAAAACAAGTGCACTGTGTCCATGCCTCATTAATTTTCCTGTCAACACCCTGGGAAGAGAACATTGTGAGTCAGCTTTTTGGGGAGGATGTAGGTGCTCGAAGTAACATATGATAATCTAAACATTAAGCCCTTTTTTGGCTGTTGCAAATGAAGCTGTGGCTGTACAGTAATGGGCATCTCCTTCCTAAGCTGCTCATGGTCCAAAAACGCCCCTGTTTTGTCCCATCCACCCGGAGGGGCCATCGCAGAGCTCCGATGCCCAGTGCTTCTTCACGCAAGAGCTGAAACACCCCTCCACCACGCCCCAGATGCAATCGGGGCAAGACTTCTCCCGCTTAGCTCCTGGTTTTGAAAGCATCACCCCCCACCCTCGTCCTTGCAGGTTCACACATTTCTTACACCAGCGATAAGCAAAGAGAAAATATTTCAACTCACAGGATTAAACAGGACATCCAGCTCCAAGTAAATTACTCCTTTTGAAGCACGTTCCAAGTCTTTATTCTTCAGCGTGTAACAACTTTGTTTACCGTTTCTAATCTATAGTTTGGAGGGGGGAGAAAAAGCATCAATATTTTCCTGGCTGTAATTCACAATATAATTTAAAGACAATACAAACAAGTAAATAAATAAATTGCAAGCACAAAAAAAGCCCCTTCCCAAACCCTGCTAATATACTCAAAGCCTGAAATGCAAAATGACCGTTGAATTAGAGACCTATAAAATTGCAGATTACATCTCTTACGGCCCAACTTTAATTTACAGTCCTTGTACTTTATAGTAGAGCAGCACACGCAATAACCAGTTTGAAAATTCTGCCCTGGAAGCCAGTGAGTTGATGGGAAGTAATCAGCCTCCGTTATTACAGGTTTAAAATGGGATTTTTCTTCCAAAGTTCAGGAAAAGAGCCACAAACAACAACTTACCTACCTATTGCACACGCCAGTATATGAACCCACTTCTCAACGCTTAGTTTATTGTAAGGTTGTCAGATTACTCCCCAGCAAACAAACGCAATCCAAAGAAATTACTCAGCTTAAGTGGAGCAAATGCTAATGTAACGAATGTTCAAAATCAACTAATTTACGTAAAAGACTTCTCCCCCCACCCCACCCCTGAATTTCAACACCATTTCTACGCTCTAATCCACCGGTTGGCCCTATCGCATTAAACATCTATTAAAAAAAAAAAACAAACCAAAAACCAACTGAAAAACCCTCCCTCACCATTTTGTAAACTATTTGGCTCAAATCAAAAGCATTTGCTCTTCAAAAAGTGATGGCAGAAATGTATTTATTATACACAGTAGGATATGTATTGATTAAACATTTGGCTTTTTAGGAAGCAGACCAGTTAATTCTAAACAGCAGTAACATAAAAAAACCTGCAGCTTACCAAAAAGCTACATTCGGGGACTGTAATGATCAAAGATTAAAGATAACGGAGGAAATTTTGGGGCATGAAATTGCAACCATATTTAAAACGGCTACTGCTGCTCTGGCATTTAGAAGAGGCACTCACATAAACCTTGGTAGAAATGAGTAAGAGGGGGGGAAAAAAAGGTATAATGGGAACGAAGTGATTTCATGAGCCAAGGGAAAGGTCCCTTCCCTTCCCAGCGTTGCTCCACTCCTGCTGTACCAAATAGCTCGTCAAAGGGTAGACGGGTTTTCTGGCTAACGGTTGAAAGGGAAGAGGGCTCCCACACGGACCAGCTTTGCATCCTCAGTGGTGTCCAAGCAAGAACTCCAGCTTTTATTACATTCTCATCCAAAGCTTTGCTTAACTGGATGCTGGGAGTTATACAGGCATATGTGGAATATATTTAATAACAATAAATAATAACAATAATAATAGGCACCGCACTAAACTGCTCACAAAGCACCTCTGATTTCACTGCAAGAGAGTCCACGCAGGGCTGGAGTTGGCGGCAAAGGATGCAGCAGGTCCCAAGAAAGGGGCAGGCAGAAAACAATTTGGCAGACCAGCAGGCTCAGAGAACCTGCACCTCAAAACAGAAGAGCTGCTGAAGTGGCTCCCCCCCCCTCCCCCCCCCATCTTTAGGCCAACTGCCACATACAGTATTGTCGGCCCATCATAAAGGACTCTGCTGTTTCAACACTTTGATTTTCCCACCCTCAAGCAAGGGCAAAAAATAATTTTAAAAGCTACTGAATGAAAATAAAAGAAAATGTATTTGGAAATTAAAGATTTTGTTCAATTTCCCAAATTAACTGAAAAATGGATTTACTGATGGTAGGGATACAGGGCAAGAGGGACTTGGCTTGCGGTTGTTATCTCTTTGGTCCCAAGGAGATGCCACCAGCAGCAGGCTGAGACTGAGCTTTGACTCATGGACTCTCCTGCAACAGGATAGAAGCTATATTGTTCCCAGCATGGCTGCAGAGATGTAGGTGTCTAATACATATCACAATATCGTAATTCTGGATTCTCCATAGTTAATAATTTGGGGGTTGAACTTCCACGTATTTCAGTTCACATATATTTCTCATAACTTTTCACCCTATTACCCTATGAGCAACAACTAGTGGGAAGCTGCCTTTATATTCCTTGGGATATACTTCTTTCTTACATCTTTCAAGAGCATAACCAACAAGGAAAAAAATGTCCAGTGCTGCTAAATTGACAGAAAAGGGAAGAGCAATGCTGTCACTACTGAGAAGGTCCGAGTCTGATATCACGGTATTCCACGCTCAAAAAATGCTTCTGACTTTGGGGAAAAAGACTCTTCATTTTAAGAGCTGGAGCTGACTCAAACATTTTGGGTGTGTCTGCAGGTGTGTTCGCACAGTAACTCTCAAAGCAGCAACAAACAACTTCCACCTCTGTCTGTCTTTGGAAATAGAGAAACAACTTTCTTTGTTGCTTGGGAAAATTTTTAAAATGGTGTCCTTATTGTTGCTGCTGCTATTTTAAAATTGAACAGGGCAGAAAGTAACACAGTGTAAATACAGTTTTACAGTCAGCTTCATTTGGCATCTTTAATTCTAAATGTTTGGCTTGTCTGGTAAAAGATGTGCAATTATAACTCAGTCTAAGACTAAACATTCATACAGATATCCTAGCTTTTGACCTTCTTCAGAGGAAAAAAAGCACAAGAGAAGAACAACTGGCTACAAAATGGCATTTCTCCATTGCATTTTCATTTGGATAAAAAGAAAAAAACCCTGTTAAAAAGTCAAAGTAAAATATCTCTTACAGTTTTGGCAACGTGGTAAGCCCGTGCAGTTCAGCAAAAGGTGCAGGGTAATTCGAACACCCATGACTGCACGGAGATTAGATCGGTGGCATGTCTCAACTGTGCCCAGAAGAAAACATCCAAAATAGCTTTTAATACTCTGCATTTCATTGTATGCTGTTCTCGGGCTAGAGTTCAGATTCTGTTCAACGTCTCCCTCAATCTCAAGAGACAACCAGTCATATTAATTTCATTTTGGATCTATTTCTTTCTCCTCTCTGGGTACTTTTCCCCAGTCTCTGCTCTTCACAAAGACTGCTAAAGCGCTTTCTCCAGCTGTGGAAGAGGTGAGCAGCCAGGGCTGGGGTCCTAGGACAAACCTAAATGTCAGAAAGATCACATTTCTTCTATCGCCCAAACACCTTTTACTACATACCTGATCTCACATGGATTTCACTCAATGAATATTCCCTATAGCTGTGTCTAAAATAGGTTCTCCCTCCCATGAATGTTTACATCTACTTATGGGAAAAGGGAAGGAAAGGAATATTCAAATTAAATGTGAAAATATCTGCAGGTGAGGTCCTCAAAGAGACATAATCAATATTATTCCTTTACTGATGAGGTTTTATACCCTCACTGAATACTAATGCCTGCACTTTCTGAAAGCTTCTTAATGACATACGACATACTGGGGCTCAATCACCAACCAGGACTGCCCGTAACCATGCGATTAACGTGAGGACAGCAATGCCTACCCCACTGACATGCTTCATTTTGCAGGGTCACCATCAGAAGACCTCTGAAAGAAAGTAAAGATTTTCACCCCATGGGAATTGCTAATACTTGGGGTATTTCCCTGTTCTGAGTCAACTCAGAAGGACAAAATACCAGCACCAATATTTTCACAGAACAATTCATATATTTGATATCACAGTCCCTTCTCCATACAGGACCATGAAAGGAAATTATCAGCTGGAAGAAAAGCTAAAATTCTTTGTGCAGTAAGTATTTGGACCTACAGAGGCACTTCAGACAGAGGCAACTTCTGGCAGTGCTGTAGCTGAAGGAAGCATTCAGGTACACGAGACCACCGTACAGTCAAGGCCCAAAGTGCACCGGGTTCCTTTCAAATGAATGAATACATTTGCTAAACTCTTCCCACAGATGTCCCCAGTAAAACAAATGTGACTAAACACAGTATTGATGTAGCCAGCCAATGCTAAATCTATTAAGCAACAACCTTCTGACCGCTTGGGAATTTTAATGAAATAGCGAAAGCCGAGATTGATATGACACAAAACACGGAGAAGACAGGACCCTTACGCAGCAAAGGGTGTTTTTTCATTGCTCTTGTCTCAAAGAAATATGGTTTAGTGGCTTTTTTTTTTTTACATTGATTGTAAGAAAACTTCACTCCATATCCAGCTTTGATGCAGATTCAATGTCATATATTGATGACCTGACAGAAGAACGCTGGGTTAAACCTCTGTACATCAACACCCACGACGTGTGGAAAGGGTAGTGGCTACTCTCCAAGGGTAATCCATCTAACGCATTTGGGACCTCTGATATTCCTGCTTGAGCTCATTGCTGATGCACAATGTCATACCATTTGCCCTGAATAACATAAAGCTGTCTTGTAGCAGACACACACCTACCCTTATCAAAGGACATATTTCCCCAGGAAAAGATGAAAGCAAGCAAGATATTTGATCCACCTGGACCTGAATAAAGGGGTTTTTGTTTCTCCCCAGTTTTGCAATATACCTTGATTTGATTTTGCACAAAACGCCCATTCATTCACCCCAAACCTCTTTGCCCCAAACTTTTCACTTTTTACAACCTTCTGTGAGATCCAAAGTCGAATGGAGGTTTGGGTTCTTGGCGGAGGATGGATATCCAAAGACCAAACAGATATGGAGCTGATGGTCTGAAAGAAAGCAGGCAGCCAGATGAGGGCTTCCAGGCAGCCTGAGGAGGAGCTGAAGGGAGCACAAGGATCCTAGGTGTTACTCAGAAAAAACATTCCTGTTGACACCATTTCAATGAGGAGGGCAGGGTCGGGGGAGAATTTCATTTCAAAAACAAGGTGTCATTTTTTCTGGAAGAGATGTGGGATCTTTTTCCCCCATTCCAAAATTTCTGGTTCATGACAGGGATAAAAGTCAGAACAGACGATACACTTCACAGCTGCCTCTATTGCACAAATGCTGCATTTTCACTTGTCTCAAACCTCAGAGCTTTCTCCTGGAAAAGGCTGTGCACTTATGGTCAAGTGCTAAGTAATTGCAGTCATCAGGTGTCTGCTCTCTGAATCCAGGCCATGTTTTAGATAATTAAGCTTGCGAAAGGCATACTACTTGTTTTCACTGTATCGTTGGCTACCGACCTTGCTTGGCACTTGAAAAATACTTCATAGACCTTTTGCTGTTTGCGGAAAAAAGGGTGCAGCTGAAGACTACTCTGAGCTGATAATTCAGCAGATAAAAAACATTCCATTCTGCGATACAACTCTTCACTCAGAGGTCTTTCTGCACGAGGACATTTGATATACTCTGCTTTCAAATTCATTGAAGCACACTATAAGCTCCCATGTCTCTAATAACTTGCAGCCTTCTAGGAGATAGGAGTCTCTTGAAGTAAAACAAAAAAGACAGACCCTCACAAAGAGAAACAAGGTTGCTTTTACTAACGTCTAGGGCACAAAGGAACACAGAGATGGAAAGGACCTCTTTGATAATTAGTTCAAGTCGTCCCAAACCTACAAAACTTCTAAACCTATCAAACCCTTTTCTTGAAGCAGTGATATTTTTGTCCTACTTCTCTGTTCCTCAGGATCTTCTTCAGTTTCTAGTACAAAAGCCTGCTCTGTTCAGTGGCGTAAATTGTCTTCCCTTTCATTCTGCAGGCTCTGAGACAGCAATCCCCCTCTCAGCCCAAAGGTTAGGCAAGCCAGACCCTACAGGACACCTTTGGCAAGAGAGTGACCCATCGTGCTAAATATTTTGGTAGGACTACTCTGTGTCCCTTCCAGTTTAAATTCTGCTTCTGTGAATGTGGCTCACCAGAGCCGTACTTGAGATGAGGTCTCTTACACACGCTTTAGAGGAGGACAGTAGTTTGACAAAAAAGGGTGGGAGAGAAAACGTACAGTAGGTTGATTAACACAGAAAAGCTAAAGGTAAAATGCAAGCAAGTCACAACCTCTCTCCCTCTGTCCCACAAATTCAGTGTACTGCTACCAAAATCAACGTCTCTACAGTGCATTATTAATAGAGCTGTATGAGAAAAAGCAAGATGTGCATTCATCCAACATAGCTTCACCACATCTATCAGAAGGAACACGAACTCTGCAGCTTTATTCGTCATCTGACACCTTAAGACTCTTGTCATGCTGCTCAGTTTTTTCTGTTTCTTATTTGGTGCCTGCAATAAGCCCAGATCTTAACGAGACACGGTCAGCATGACACAGAACTACGACAACAGTCAAGGATGAATGGAAAGCTTAAGTAATTTCACTATCTCTGAATTTTTGTGCAGTAGGGTTATTCGTGTGTTAATGTTAATGTGATGATGAAGGTGTATGCATGTTTGCGAAATGCCAGTGTAAGACTCCTGAACACATTGAAACCAAAATTCTTTGTCAAATTAATTAAACATTTCATATCTCTCCAAGGTACACTTTATTCAAGGCAATTTTTCATTAAGAAAAGAATCCAGTCATCCAGGAACAATTCCTGAAGTAAACTTACTTCATGTGCTGACAGCTCACAAGTCAAACTTTTGCATTTTTAACCGGAAAAAAAAAATAGGCACTTCTGTTTTCGAAAGGGAATTTAATGCAAGGCAAATATTAGGCCTGATTACCTAGCAGAAATTAAACTTATATGATTTGTGAGGCTTCCTTGAGTCTTTAACTATTGTTCTCTTTCAGCATATTTATCTACATGGTTCAAAGAATACATTCAAACTTATCGTCAAAATGACAACATACATTGAAATTCCCATTTCAAGAAAAAGAGCTTAGAAAATTGCAGTTCTCTGTCTGAGCAGACTAAGTTAATAGGTGCAAAATGGTTTTTAATCAGAAGCAGAGACGAATATATTTACACTAGATTTGACTGAGATAGGAGGCAGAGAACTTTGGACGCGGAGGAAGAAGATCAGTTGGCAAGGGAAAGCATAAACTATTTTTTTTTTTTTTTTTTTTTTTCTTGGATAAAAAAAACCTAGGCTGAATAGTTTGGACATTACCACACACATGCACTCTCCTCCTCTGCCTTGTTACATGCTTCCTAAGGGATACTTGACAAATGCCTATGAAATCAACAGAAAATCCAAATCTAACATCATCTCACTGTGAGCCCACACAGCCTGCTGCCGATCATGCAGGCCATTTGGCAAGCACCGGATCTGCAGGACAGCAGCTGCTCCAGCCACTCTCTTCCAGTAACATGAGAGATATGAGGACTTGGGGAAAAATTAACAGAGCGATCAAAAACGGAATAAAAGATGTTAAGAGGTTTTTTCCTCCCTGTAAACATCAAATCATCCTCCATGGCCAACTGACTCTAATATTGTTCTAAAACTGGAGATATTGACAACCTGAGCCACTAAAATAGACAAACAATCTAAAACATCCCCAGCCTCAAAAAGAACTTGTGGTCCGAGACACAGAGGGAAGAGGACTGCAAAGCACACCAGTGTGTGTGGGGCACCAAGAGACCAGTATTTACTCCTCAACTTCTATCGCTCAGGCTCTTCTTATCCCCAAATGGCAGGGGTTCCCCTCTTCTGGACTCCAGTATAACTTGGAAAGAGCACACGGTGGATGAAAACAAACACACTTTAGTGAAAAGATTCAGAAATCACGTTGCTTTTAACTCGCATATACAAGAAATATGCTTATTTAGACAAAATAATAACAAAACTGGAGCACATTAGTCTATTTCTTTACCACTATAAAACATTCCTCAGGTTGGAATCATATCCTCCAAGTCAGTTTGAGAGTCTTCTGGGCAGTTCATTATTTATTTGGAAACATCAAGTATTTGCAGTTCCCCTCTCTGATCTCTACTGGTCCCATTGGTCCATTACCTAAATCGTGCTGACTCTGTGTGGCTTACATGGGCCGCTTCGATCAGATGGGACCTTTGCTTTCCCTCTAGAAACCTCCTATTTCTCCAGTGTCCGCCAGGACAGAGCCCACTAACCCATCCCTGCAATGCTGCCTTTCCTGCAGCAGCCCACCTCTACAACTCGAAGACAAACTCTTACCTTAACCATGAGAGATGCATGCCAGCCTTTCTGCAGCGGTGAACGTGCTTTCACTGAGATGTTTCAAAACAATACTGCAATTTTGTAATCTGTAATTTCAATCAGGATTCACCGTCTGCCTATTCGAGAGTGCTGTTACCGACAGCACCACACTGCGCGTTACCGAAAGCATCTCACTACTGCCTGTATCACTCGAGTCGTGTCATATACTGCAAGCATGAATCTTGCACAGGGCTCAATGCAGTACTCGCTGTATAAACACCTGTCACACCCTCTCCTCTGCATAAGGAACCTACTGCAAAACATCAGTACCTCGAAACTCCAGGAAACCCCCATGCTTACAGTTAAACACCTTTACATGACTTGACTGGTACGAGCACAAGAGTCCTGGGATGTTTCAAGCCTCATCTACTAGTTGATTTAATAAAAACCACAGCCTAGAAAGTTCTACATTGCAAGTTACCAGAACTTTCTGTGATACCACACATGCACATGGAGCTGTTCGCATCCTCTTCATCTGGTTTACTCACTCTATTACCACCAGCCTTGTTCCAAAATCAAATCAGTCTCACCAAAAGCAAAGCTGCTTTTCCCCCATTTCTCTATTAATGTCTCTTAATGAGCCTTTTACATTCCCCTTTCTTTAGCTTGGCCTTTATTGGCCATTTCTGAAAAAGTTTCAACTCTCCTTCATCTCCAGAGCAATCACTTCCCCCCCGCCCCCACCGAGCTCACTTTGTTTCCAGTTTTGATTTTATACTCCCATGGTAGCACTCACTCTTCACATATTTGTTTACAGAACAAAAGCCACCAGTCTTTAAAAGCACTACGGAGTAGAAAACACCCCTTTTAGGTAATTTTATTCAGCTGTGCCAATAACAACAGCTATCTCTAGTCAATCCTATGGTAATGTGCAATTACTTTCTTAGAGTAAAAAGAAGCAAGACAGAACAGACACATGCGTAAAATGTTACCTTCTGAAGACGATGTGGAAACACAGAGAACAACTCAATTATGTTTTCAGCCCTACATGGCATATAGTACTGATGAAGTACAGACACTTCTGCAATTTTCTTTCCAATCAAGCAAATTTGTACTAAAATGGGTTGGCAGTGCTCGTTACACTAAGGAGAACTATAAACACTGCCAACTAAGGCATATATAGATCACAAAACCTGTTTATCTCTAAATCTGTGTTGGTTTGTGCTATAGAGAAAAGAAATGCAACTCGTTCCCAGCAAAACTATCAATGTTTGAATGATACATGTAGCAAAGGTTACTTACAGACAGCAGAGGGATGGCAACTTTTCCAAGAAAATCAGGGGGTTTATCTCCATCTTCATCAAACACGGTAACTTCCAGAACATCATGAATATCTTTAATAGGGCTGGAACAAAAAGTGCAGACATATAAAAAAAATAATATTCGATACACATGCACACAGTATCCTCCATAAAGATCCAAGAAGACTGTTTTACTAATTAAGTTTCTGTTACCTTGGAGTATAAAACTAGCATTTAATTAAATTCCCCCAAAAAATGAATCAAATGATGGGTATTCCCCAAGCTTTCCCCTCATGGTTGAGTACCACAACTAGGTGAAGAAAATAACTACTAGCCAGTGACATTTTTTTGTGCATCGATATTGATGCTAACAGTGTAGAACTCAGCTCTCTAACAGAGAAAGCTGGTGACCGGGAGAGCTGAAGGGCTGAATTCAAAAGCAGGCTTCAGGACATTAAAGAAATAATCCAGGAAACAAAACTTCATTTGATTTGAACAATTATCAAACAGTTATCTCCCTTTTAAGGTACTAACAAAACCAATTACTTAAAAAAAAAACCAAACAACCCTTAAAAACCTTAATTAAAGGCCAAATATGCAATATTTTTGTTGCATTCAGTGCAAATGCTCTACTTATGTGGCAGCAGGCACTCGATCCTAAGTATTTATCAGATCATTAATAAATCCGAGTCTCATCTGAGAAAAGTTATAGCTGTGTGCCTGCAAAAGCACGGCTAACTGGAGACGACTTCTGAGTTGCATTCATTATCCCCTCTTTTCCTTTTTCCATGTGCAAGAGTTAAGTAAAGAGGCATGTGGTACAGCGTGTGTTCACCATTCTGCCCTAAAGAAAGGCATTTCAGAGCAGTCCTGCTCCCAGGAGCTTCTGACTGGGACATGGTGGAGTTGCTCCTCACAGAGCAGTGTCTGAACCTACCAGCCACCTGGTTGTCTCTCCAGCTTGCAGGCGTAGCAGGTTCTGTGCTGCGACCCAGGCACCAGTGGCAGCCAAACAACAATGAAATGCACTGTTTTCAACACATTATGACTTTAAAATACATTGAAACCTGCCACTTCCACAACCATACTTCCATGTTCCTCTCCAAACCATTATAATTTCGTATACGATATAGCCACCAGTGGTATAAAATGTTAATACCCCACAGTGACACACACAGGTAAATGTGCTGCAGAAAATCTGAGTATGATGGGAAGGGGTCTCTGGTGGTATTGAACGCTCCAGCCGAAATGGATTCATCTACTCAGAACAATCCACTCTGCTTCAAAATAAATCTAAATCATCAATAGCTTTTAAGGTGCATAACTGAAACTTGAAAATGGCCAAAAATCTTAAGGAGAGACGCAAGACCCTGACTGGCTCTGCAGATTTGGTGCTTGGATTAGCCCTGCAATAGCAATAAGAAAGTCAGAGATAGTCCACAGCTGACATTTCTGAGACTCACAGGAAGCGTAGACACAAACTTTCTTTTTAAATGAAATAATTTTGGATTCTTTTTAGATCTATTTTGTTGGCTGAACATCCGACAGGACTCATCTGCCAGCACAAACTCAGAATAAACAGTGATTGGGGGATGCTTCTTGAGAACAAACAAAGTAAGAGAAAGGACTTCAAGAGAAACGAGTTCAGCTGCAGCTGATATACGGCATGAATTAAACCAGAAATCCCACAAGGTACTTCTACGAAAGAGTTCAGATACTTTTTATTGTGTTCACATCCAGTATTTATGAATGTTGCTATCGCAAGAAGTCCATCATTCTTAAACTGTTCTTCCAGTGGACCGGTGCAAATGTCATGAATGCTCCATTGCCAGCCCTCATGGCTGCCTTCCTTGCCACAGACTGCTACAGTCTTGGAGACATTTACTCACTCAGCTATTCACAAAAATCTTCGTCAGCATAAAGCAAAATTAAAAAACTGTGCTGCCTAAAAGCAATACCTAAATTAACACTTTTGTTATTAATAAAGTCACAAAAAAAAATAATACTTTGATTTCCATAAAAATTTGAGCTTCTAATTTGGAGTAAGCTATGTTTGACTAGCTTAAATGCAGAAGATATGACAGGAACAACATGAGCTCTAATTTTCTGCTTACTTACAAATTAAACAAGGATTCTACCACGGTTCAATGAAACATATTTTAAATTATGGAAAATGTAGGCATGAGTATCTGGTCTCTGCTTTCTGCTATATTATCTCTTGGATCCAGCTACAACTCCATTATGTCTAGTCATGCTTCTTCCTATAAATATCACAGTAATTTTTCTTTTAATGACTTCTATTAATAAACTCCATGCAAGAACTAGTAAAAGGCAAAAGGCTTTGAGTTCTATTTGATATTTCTCCAACATCCTCTCTGACTATGAAAAAACGACATATCTTAAACTTGACCTTTGTATTTTCCCAAAGTCGGTAACTTTTATAGTTAAGCTGCTGACTGGTGCTGGAGTATGTTTTCTAAACCAATCCACTTACAACGTGAAAACTTTATTCCACTCCGGATTGAGGTTCTTGTAAACAGTGTGTGTTTGAAGACTGTTTTTTCCCA